TTTATAAGCACATGGAGTCATACTGTTTCGCCTTAGGTACACTCCAGGTCACTCACGGATCTTTGACCCATCTGTTGTTCTCCTAGTTCATTGCAGTCTGTTTTTTGGTGTGAGTTTGAACTGTTTATGTAAGTTCTTTGGAATCATTTAAGAAAGGGTTAAATATGTTTGGAAGTTGATGCTGCAATCCCCTCCCTCTATCTTTTGACAAAGATGGCTTCCTTCACCTCTCTTTTAAACTGTCTTTCCTCTCTGTCCAACATTTGGATCATAATATTTGTCAAGAAGTGTTTCCTTTGACAACCATAATGTTCAACTCATTCCTAAGAAACCATATAATGCAGTAATCGGTCATTGGCAAACCTTTTGTCTCTGAGACCAGGCTCTTTCTGCAAGCCTTTTTTAAATGTGTCTGTTTGTGTGAAAGCCACATCAAAATGTGTGGCAGCATAAGGGTCAAGAGAGCTGGCTATGTCTACACAGAGCGAAAGAGAGCAGCTACAGTACAGAGTGCAGACACAGCAAAGTACAATTCTTCCCTCCCCACCTTTTGACACACTGAGTGCTTAAAAGAACCTGCTGTTTTTAGTGAGCTGATCCAAAAGAACCAGCTCTTTTAAAATAGCTGAAATTCCCAACATTTATAAGATTCAACTCACAACAAACAACAGACTCCATTGACCCAAGAGAAAAAAAATACCCCAATGGCAATTTAAACATCTAAGCAAGAAAACAACTAAAGGAAATAAGAAAATGAAAAGGTGATCTTTCAAAAACTATACAACAAATTTGGAAGTGTTAATTCAGCTCCCACAAAGTTGAATTAAACATTCTTAGAGTGTTTATATAGTTCCACATGACTTCATATTCTAAATTCAACATTTATCAGGGTTGGATTTATGTAAAAATCTGACTGTATTATCTGATTGAACTGCCTGTGTCATCTTCCACACCCATCCAACCTTCTTCCACACCCTACAGTACTTCACAACTCCAAAAGCCACCAATGTTGTTGTTAGCACATGTATTTTAAGAAATAAGCATATATAGAGAGGTTGGCATTCTGAAAGAAACTCTGCCAATTACTTATTTTTAAATAAACCCTAATAAGAATGGTTTGAAGTTAACTTAAAATAACACTGATTTTTGAGGAACCAACTCTGGGTGGTGTGCAGAAACCACAAAAATACAGAAAATCAGAAAACTCACTTGAAGGGAAAGAAATTATGACAAACCAGCAAACAGTGACTGAGCAGGAGATGTATGGATGGGAAACTGAAACAAAGACCAGGCTAATCAGCAGATTGGGAGCAGGTTTTGGACAGAGAAGTCTAGAAGGGAGCAAGGGAAAAGGAGACTGAACCAAGAGGTCAACAAAGGGCAAACAAGAAATACCCAAGAACTCAAATACAATTAAAAATAACTAGAATAACACAAAATGGAATAGAACCAATATCATTACACTTAACACCATACTCTCAGCAGATAGCACCAACAAGCAATTTAACTTATTTGATTTTGCTGTATAAAAAAAATACTTTTCCATAGTTTTCTCCATAGTCTTGACATGTTCTTATCTGATGCTCTAATTTTGAATATGTCCACAACCCTTTAATAAAGTATTAGAGCATCTGGTAACGTGATCCTTCCAAATGTGTCCCACCTTTCTTTTTCTCTGCTTTCAATACCTTCTGCTAGGCTGAAACCTTGGATGTATTAATTAAATGAACTGGTAACCTTTAAGATATCCATATCAACAAAAGGTCCTGTGAGACTGTGGCTGGCAGCAAAACACGTTTGTAAGCAACTTGTTAAAAATCCCCCTAAGAGGAAAGTCTGTGATCAAGAACAAGAACGTTAAACCAGTTTACTGACTGGTGTCTATCAAAATTGTATAAATTGAAATTTATGTATTGGGTCTCTTTGGTAGACCTGATGCCAGGTAGACCACGTCAGAGCAGGGGCATTTTGGTTTTTAATGACCTTTTGAGACAAAGGAGTCAGAAATTGTTGAGATCTGTGTAAATTGTCCTTAAAAAATATAAATAAATTATAAACAATTAAAGAAATTTAGTAATTCAAAACTTATAACTAAAAGGTCTTCAGTTCTCTGCAAAGATTTCTACACTTGACAGATACTCAACACTCTTGAGTGACCAAAGAATGGCTGCTTTCGGTCAGGTTCGGTGGTGACTTTGAGGACCCAATGCAGAGAGGAGTAGGCATATATGAGTTTGATTAATATAACGAAAATCCAAGGGGATCAGAGGCAAAAATCTACTGATGTTATGAGATGAGTTGAGGCTTCGAGGCACATGTCGATTAATGGAGGGGGTGTTTCCCCGGAGCTCGTGTCAAGGTGTGATTCATTTAGGGGAGGGGCCAAAGCTGATGATGTCCAAAGCCTCCCCACCGTGATACCACGTGACCACTTTGGGAAGTAGTTCAGAAAGCGCAAGAACTTCTGCAGGCATTTAAATAACCTCACTACTCAGTCAAGATGTGTCTTAGACAGATTTGTCATTTTATTTACAAAAGTGTAAAACAAAAAGAAATTTAATTTGGAACAGCTCTCTGGAAAATGTCATCTTTTTAAAAGTGCAGCATTAAAAAATAGTTAAAATATATATATAAAAACAGTAATATAAACATACGACTGTAAATTTACAGTTCTAACATTTTCATTTTTTTAAATATATAATGATAAAATATAATAAATATTATAAAATACAATACAATAACCCATTTTACCAAACATTCAGCAGTCTAATGGCAGTGGGGAAGAAACTGTTGTGAAATCTGCTCTCTTCCCCGAGGGCAGCAGGGACAACAGTCCATGGTGGGGGTGTCAGGGGTCATTTATGATGTTACAGGCTTGGGACACGCAGCGCTGGGATGAATTGTCTTTTATGGAGAGAAGAGGAGCCCCGATGATGATCTCTGTTCTCACCACTCTCCTCACCTTCATCCAGCCTGAGGCGCTGCAGTCTCCACACCACACAGTGAGACAGCTGGTCAGAACGCTCTCCATGGTGCTTCTGTAGAAGGTGGTGAGGATGGGTGGGGGCAGGTGGGCTTTCCTCATCCACCGCAAGAAGTACATGGGCTCTGTTCGAAAACCTGGGCTGCATCCTCCAAGGACGCGGTCTACCTAGACTGGATCCTTCGAATCCACCAGGATCAGGCTGTTATCTTTGCACCAGTCCACCAGCTGCTCCACCTCCTCGCTGTAGTCTAGGTCGTTGTAATTTCTGATGAGGACCACCACCATGGTGTCGTCTGCAAACTTCACGATGGGCTTGGTGGTGAACCTGAGGATGCAGTCATGTGTCATCAGGATGAACAGCACGGGGCTCAGGACGCAGCCGTGAGGGGAGCCTGTGCTTAGACTGATGACATCAGAGGTGTTCTGTCCGACTGACTGAGGTCTGTTTGTGAGGAAGTCTACTGTAGCAGCCAATTGCGGAGGGGTGTATTGAATCCCAGCTGTTTCAGTTTGCCCATCAGATGCTGTGGGATGATGGTGTTGAAAGCTGAACTGAAGTCCAGAAGCAGAATCCGCATGTGGGTGTTCTTCTCCTCCAGGTGTGCCAGGCTCAGGTGGAGAGCAGCAGAGATGGCGTCCTCATTGGAGCTGTTTCGTCGGTAGGCAAACTGGAACGGGCAGACTGGAGATTATGTGTTCTTTAACCAGCCTTTCAAAGCACTTCATCATTCATGATGTGGGCGTTTGTAGGAGTGTTGCTGTTAGTTGGATAGATTCTAAAATAGATTGGTTGTTTTTCCAACCAATCTAGTTGCTTAAAACCGTTTTAGTTAGATTGAAAAATGTAAGATCAAAATCTTAGCAAGCCACAGGACACAGCTGTAACTTTAGTGTTAAGTACTATTGCTGTGAGTATAACAGTTATTAATGCCGGTGGCGTCAGCTGTAAGACATTGTCTTTCACTTCTGAGGTTGTTGGTTCAAGACCCACCTTAGAGTTTTGAAAGTTGCAATTATACTTACGTATTTTGGCTAATGAGACTGAATTCTATTGGTTCGCCTTAGTGAAAATATAGATATAGACATAATTACCAACCCGATTAGAACCAAAAACTATGGAAAAAAATATGTTTGAATAAAAATGACTAACACCTTTCAGTTGCTCATCATTGCCCAATTTTCACAAACACTTTTACTGTCTGCTTGAGCTTATTTCACCAAAATGGCAGAAAAATAGTGTACCTAAAATGATTATTCTCTTCTAAGACGTTTTACACCAAAAAAAACTTACAAAAGATTTCATTATACAAACCAATCATTAACAATGCAAAGGAACTTAAATGGGGGGAAAAAAACAAGAAAAACCAACTGCAAAAAATTGCAGTTTTTATAACTAACTGTAGTTCGGCACTCCACCAGTAGGTGATGAAATGTTTACATGAAGCTTCATGAACTGTGGGGATCTTGAAGCAATTTAGCCAAATGGTTCAAACGCCTAATGAGGTTTATCTCACATCACTACAAAAATCCCAAATCCCAAAATACGGAAAACCAAACAAAAACCAATAAACATCAGGGAAAACAATCAGGGGAAGCGAGACACTAGAAAGCAATGAAACAACATCAACAACACACGAAACCAACACTGAGTGAAGGCTCTTCTGCTCTTTTAAGCCCAGCACTCTGATGAGAAAGATTATATTCACCTGTGTAGGCTACCCAGATTCTCCACAAAGATCCTCTCTGGACGAGATGCATAACTCGCACTCACTCACACATGCAAAGGCTGCCGATGCTCTTTCTAAGACTTTTACTTTGACATTAAAACAGATACACTTGCGAACTAGATTTTTTTTTTACAGTTAATACTGTATAAGAGATAAAAGGAATTGTATAGAAAAAATATATATATAGTTCTCAATTACCTCAGCTAGATTAAATAATTTCTTAACAATCAAGCGGTAACTGATTTAATTTCCCATTTTTCAAATTATAGTTCACATACATATCCACAAACATCCACAAAACAGTTAAAGCAGTAACCTCTATATGATAATTTTTTTTAGCACAGACCAACTATTTTTATGTTAATATGCTCATTTTAAAGATATGCACAAATTTAGAAAGAGGAACAGAGAATAAAAGTAGTAACATATGATAAAACTGATTAACTCATTATTTAATTTGGGAGAATATTATGATTCCCCTATGGATTACTGTATGCAATTTAACAGCTTTGTGATCTCTCTCAGTGTCCTGTTGGTCCGGTCAGCCTGTTTGTGTTCTCAGTAAGGGCGTTCCTTGTGTGCAGAGCTCTCTGGACCATCTGCCAGAAGACTCCTGGGTGGTGTGCAGCCTGTGGCCAGCTCAGGTAAGTGCGTTTCTTTACCAGTTTCCTCATGCGGAAATACGGAGATAGAAGATAACCAGGAATCTCCTCCAAAAACAGCAGGATCAGCACATCCCTTTTTTCGTCAAACAGCCGAAAGCTGCAAAATTAGTCAAAAAAGTAAAAAGAGTGTTGGTACTGTACTACATCTTGACACAAACCCATTTGAATTAGTTAATTAGCGTTATGGTTACTTTGAATAAAACTAAAAGATGTTGTATTCTTATATACATGTTTTGCCAAAATATTTGAAATACATCAGCCCTTTTATCAACATTCTTTGTAATTTCTTTAATCAGAATAGAAAGTAATCAGAATACTTGGTCCTTCGTTGGAGTAGTGCCAGTAAGCTGTGCATGCATCATAATATACCTACTCTAAATGCTGTGATCAGAAACCTTGTGTATCAATTTAGATTGCTTTTAGAGGACTCAAATGATACAGTAGGGTTGATAATTGTTGTTTTACTTACATTAGGCTTTAAAATCCAGATTGAGACACTTCTTGCTATCAGAAACTCTGAAGGATGTGCCTACATGGATTGTAGTGTATTTTTTAGGTGTAGTTGTCTGTTTTTGTATTTTTGATTCTGTGTTTTGGTATTGATATTATATTGAAGCATTAATAAAGCCTTTTCCATTCCTCCCATATGTATTAAAAAAAATAGATATAATAAGAGATTTCACCTGTACCTTGCCATCTGGATCTCCCTGGAGCACCATTCACTTTGTAGGTAGCTGCGACTGATCACACAGATGGTCTTCCTGCTACTATAAATGGCGTCAGTGATGTTTTCTATGATGGGTTTACCTGTGGACGGCATACATGTGGTTTACTATCTGTATATTACACTGCGATCTTTCACAGAGCAAACAATAATAAAATTACTTCCTTTGCCAAAATATAATACTCGCTAATATTTTTTATATTCATTGCCAGAAAATAGAGATTACCTGGAAGACCAATTTCTTATAGTTTACCTGGTTGGAAATCTCTGTGGTGTAGACAAAGTCTCCAGCCCTGTTTCTCCTCCAACATGGGAAGCATCTCTCTATAAACCCAGTCTTCATCATTGATGTTGTAGGACACAAAAGCATCAAACCTGTATGAGTCTCCCTTCTTCCTTTTCTTGCTATCATAGAGAAAGGCCAAGAAGAGGTGAAAGGTGTAGCCAAGTTTCCACCTTAGGTAATGGTGGATGAAGGGAATAAGAAGAGTTAGAACGACAAGACAGGTGCTGGAAATGAAGCAGAAAAAGAAGCCATCATCCCGACAGGACAGGATATCAAAGTCTAACAGCAAGCTTCCTTGTTTGGCCAAAGGAAATTCACATATATACTGAGATGTGTTTGCTACTTGTGTTTGCTTGTTGTCTTTTGCCCAGCGGATAAAACCTGCATTTGAGCATTCACAGGAAAACGGGTTATTGCTCAGGTCCAAGTATGTTAGAGAGGGCAGGTACTGGAAGACAGTTTCATTAATGACAGTGATTTTATTCTCAGTCAGTTTTAGATATCTGAGTGCAGAAAGATTGCTTTGTGCAATAAAATCCAAATCCTTGATCTTACATTTAGAGAGATCAAGAGCCTGCAGTTTTGGGACATCTTGAAAAAGGTTTGGATTTAAATTGGACATATCAGTCTCAACAAATGTCATACTCTTGAGTTGAGGGTTAAATTGAAATATGTTGGCAAATACAGCATTTATATGTACATTTACAGCTGTAAAATGCTGCAGTTGTTTCATAGGCTGGAGCAACTGAATTGGTACACTAGGAAGGGAGCCAGAGGGATCTACTCTGGAGATGAATGTAATCCTTTTCACAGACTTTAGATGATATGAAACTGTGTAATTATCTGTCTGATTAATTTCTGAAGCATATTTAGTCACTAGATAGATTGTTATATTTTCTAAGTGCTCTAATCCGTTAACATTTAGTTCACAATTACGTGTAAGTGATACCACAAGAACCTGTATGTAGCTTAGGCCTTTAAATGTTTCACGTTTGATTGTTGTATCAATATTTGATGCCGTATTTAAATGCCTCAGAGATTGTAAAACTTGAAAGCAACCTGTTTCTAGAATCATTATTTTGTTGTCACTTATGTCCAAGACCTCAAGTCTGTGAAGGGAAACATTAAAGGTGCCTCTGATTGTCCGCAGTTGATTTTTGCTAATGTTTAAAAGCTTTAGATTTTTAACATTTTCAAATACGCATCTTTTCAGCTTAGTAATACAATTACTGTAAAGGGAAAGCTCTCTAAGACTGGTTGTATTGATAAAATCCTCACAGCTAAGATGGGAGATGAGGTTAAATTCAATGTTTAGGATCTGAAGATTTGAGAGTGTCCTAATATCATATGGAACTTCTACAAGAGTGTTGGTACTCAAACTTAATGTTACTAGATTCTTCATTGTCTGTATTGAGCCATTTGGAAGTTCATTTATATATGTTTGAGTCAGGTTTAGTTCTGTGAGCTGTGAGCAAGGTGCAAGTTTCAAAGTCATGCTATTTAGATATGTGTGAAATAAATCCAGCTTTCTTAGTTTTGGTAATTTGCAAACAGTAGATAGCAAATCTTTAATGTATTTGTCCAAGTAATTAAGTCTGAGATTACTTAATGACTCGAGATTCTGGAGGACTTGTTTGAACCTTTTCAAGGAAAGTACAGGCTGACTAATGTATAAATGCGTTATGTTCCTGAGTAAGGTTTTGTCAGGTGTTTTCCACCTCAGGGCAGAATGACTTCTATAGAGAACTAGCTTTTTGAGGTTAGGAAACACTGGTGTAGAGATACTAAAAGTTTTCATCTTATGTGTGGAAAGAATTAACTCTTCAAGATTTGAGGACAAATTTCTGAACAGTTGTGTCGTATTAAAGCATAAAAATGAATTGTGACTGAGGTTAACCCTTTGTATGTGGGGTAGCTGGAAGATCGGCTGAAAGTGAACAATTTGCTGGAGTTTATTATAATCTAAATCCAGAGTTTTTAGGCTTGTCAAATCTTGGAAAGCTAATTCATGAATGAACTGAATTCTGTTATGACCGAGGTCAAGAGAAATCAGGTTGGAAAGGCCCTGAAATATGTTTTTAGGCAGGTTGGTGAGGGTATTTGATGCTATTCTAAGTGTTGCCAGTATGACTAAATCCTTGAAGGAACCTTCATCGACATCAGAAATGTTATTTTCTCCTACATCCAGAATTTTCAGCTTTGACATGTCAAGAAAATCTCCTTTGTTAATCTTTTTTAGCTGATTGCTGTTGAGTTTAACCAAAACCGCATCTTTTGGAATTTCATCGGGAATAGTTACAAGCTTCTTGTTTGCACAGTCCAAAGAAAGATCATTAGAGAGATTATCCTGATAAAGTATTGTGCACTTTTTCAGGGCAAAAGCCAGTGAAGGGTTAAAGCAAAGCAGAAGACAAAAAATTTGCAGAATCAGGTATGAAGAGTAACTTTCGGCTGCAGCCTTGTTTTTTTTCATGGTTGTGAAGCTGTTTCTGTTTTTCATGGGTGTTAATCTGAAAAAGAAAGGGATATACAAATCAATAAAATCTAGTCCGTGCTAAAGTTCAAAAAGCAACTTTTCAGTGTTTGATATGGATGAAATATATTTAAGGAGAGGAGTAAGGGAAGACATCTCTCAGCGAACAAGGCTAACCAGAATGCGATGCGCTTTTGATAGAGGGAGTTCAGTCTGCATTAGAATTTAGATCTGCATCACAGCCCTTCTCAAGTTTCAAACCAGTTGGGTTGTTTGGTATTGTTTTTTGGAATCTTAATAAATACACATCACCAAAACTGTGTCTGTGACTAAATCAAAGCAAACTCTTCTTCAAAAATTTTCATTGGAAATTTTAATTAATAAAATCTCCAGAAGTTTGTGAAAGTCAAAAGCGATTTGTAAGTATAAATTTTATTTACACAGTTCTGAAAAAGCTGAGTGACAGACTTTCCATAAATTGCAGTCTCAATCGCAAATTCAATAAAGTATAATAAATCTAAATCAATAGAACTTTTTATTATGATTATTATTATTATGTTGCTAATGCTAAATTTTAAGTTAAATATATAGACAGTTGTGAAAATTTAGTCAGCAATTTTTCTATATTACTTTTTTCTTCTAGTACCCTTTAATAGATATTTTCACTAATATTTGTTTCCCATATTTTATTTAAGATCTGGTTCAAGCAAGAACAATAGCTTTTGCATGATGCAGCTAGATCCTCTATTTCAAATACAGCATGATGCATCTTAACTAATGAAAATGTACCTCATAACTCTAAACATGTACAGAGTTTGTTCAATTTTACATTAGAATTGAGTCTTCACTTTTTATTTTTTAATTTTTTTATTTTTTTATTTTTATCAAGTGAAACCTTAGTCAAGAAGTCTGAAAAGACACATTGTAATATAAAATATCCAAACAGAGAGGAAAAATATATGTTTGGACCATTGTTAGACCATGGCAAATGTTGCCTATCAGTGTCCGCTGCACTGTTCTGGGTCAATTTCTTCACACGCTGATCCATCTTTTTCCTGTATACTAACCAAAATGAAATATCTTCAAACCTGTACTAAAACATCAAAGAAATAGACCATTTATGTTGTGGAGCATCTTCAGGCATGTATGGACTGTATAAACTGGGGTATTGTCATATCAACCAGATACCTAATCCAGATGAGCCTAAAGAGGCTGCAGAATCTTATATCAACTCCTTTGCACACAGCTGTATTCCAAAGTAAACAATGGAGAGCAACATGAAAGGGAGCCAGGCCGTCGTCATTGTGCTTCGTTTCACTCCTTTGTCCGACAGGATGTCTCTTTGCTAGTTAATCGAATGCCCGCAGAGTTGTTTTAGGTTGTTTTATCAGATGCGTCTGACACAATGTTGTGACTTACGTTCTTCGTGCTCAATGGTATTACGTAAGTTAGCGAGTCGACCTGGGTCTGATGTTCCCACTGTTCGTGATCGGGGGCCAGGCCGTTTGAAGTTGATTTTTACCCATGTTGTTTGCAGAGGTGTTTGACACCGGTTTCCACTCCCACTAAAAGCCGATTGTTTGTAGGTTTATATGGATTTCTTGGCAAGTGGAAAAGGGGTATTTGAAAGCTCATGGAGAGATCAGCACACAAAAACATGATAGATAAGTCACAGCTTCTACTGGGGTTCTGGGGTACACCCACAGATATCTAATAATTTGACTAATAAATATCACTCCGAACAATAGGTTTCTACATCTCCATGTTGTGTTGTGTTGCAACCTTGCAGCCTATAAATAAAAGCTCCAGACATGTCTGCACAACCCCACAAAAATCAACAAACAAAAATTAACAACAAAAAGCAGACATCCTTATATGTGTATATGTATAATGTGTATATGCTCTGATTTAATATTGTGGTTCATGTTCAACTACTGCCACTGTGCTCCTATGCTGTAAAGCTTGCATTTCTTAATTCTAAAATGTTATATTTTGGTATTTAATTATGTTAACTTTTAAGCACCTCATCATAATAACAAATTCCTTGTATGTGTAAACAATACTACTTGGCAATAAAATAAAGTATTTTTGATTCTGATTGGCTGAGAGCCCTGATAAGGAATGCTAGAATAACTAAGAAAAGAATGACAGGATTAGGAGTAAAAATGAGAAACTTGCTTTGTGAATGCTGATATTAACTTTTAAACAAAAATAGTTTTACTGATTATGGTGACCATAAACAAGTATTCAGTATAAACAGCTTTCAACGTAATGTTGCCAGAGTGGTCTAGACTGTGTATACTTTGTATTTAACAAGATGCTTTAAACATATAGGACAAGAAAACATTTTCATATCAATAAGCACATACTAGTCAGGTTGGTCAGCTGAGATACGAAAAAACACAATTGAAAAGTCAGTGTCTTTTTTCTAACCGCCTTATGATGTTAAAAAAAAATACTTCCCTTCTTTGCTTGGTTAGTTTATGCCCTTACATTTATATTATTGCTGGTTATGCTAACCTTAATACACTGACAAAGTTAGTAAAATGTATTATGAAAAAGATGCATTTCTGCAACTTACTGTCAATGATGATATCTTCATGCTTCATCTTTCATGGCAAAAGCACAAACTGTTTCAGTTCTTCATTTTTTCCTTCAGAGAGATGATCTGTGGGCTGCAGCCTTACACATTTGCGTTAAATACGCAGAAAGCAAACAGGAAACTGTCATTTAGCTTCCAGTTATAGCCTACTGACTTGTACTGTTGTTCAACCTGAACAATTCTGAGAACTTTTTAGTGTATGTGGGTGTGTAGCCACGATTGTGTTACCCTGGGGGATATGGTCACAGATACACTATATTGCCAAAAGTATTTGCTCACCTGCCTTGACTCACATATGAGCTTAAGTGACATCCCGTTCCTAATCCATAGGGTTCAATATGACGTCGGTCCACCCTTTGCAGCTAGAACAGCTTCAACTCTTCTGGGAAGGCTGTCCACAAGGTTTAGGAGTGTGTTTATGGGAATTTTTGACCATTCTTCCAGAAGCGCATTTGTGAGGTCGCACACTGATGTTGGACGAGAAGGCCTGGCTCTCAGTCTCCGCTCTAATTCATCCCAAAGGTGTTCTATCGGGTTGAGGTCAGGACTCTGTGCAGGCCAGTCAAGTTCATCCACACCAGACTCTGTCATCCATGTCTTTATGGACCTTGCTTTGTGCACTGGTGCACAGTCATGTTGGAAGAGGAAGGGGCCAGCTCCAAACTGTTCCCACAAAGTTGGGAGCATGGAATTGTCCAAAATGTCTTGGTATGCTGAAGCATTCAGAGTTCCTTTCACTGGAACTAAGGGGCCAAGCCCAGCTCCTGAAAAACAACCCCACACCATAATCCCCCCTCCACCAAACTTTACACTTGGCACAATGCAGTCAGACAAGTACCGTTCTCCTGGCAACCGCCAAACCCAGACCCGTCCATCAGATTGCCAGATGGAGAAGCGCGATTCGTCACTCCAGAGAACGCGTCTCCACTGCTCTAGAGTCCAGTGGCGGCGTGCTTTACACCACCGCATCCGACGCTTTGCATTGCACTTGGTGATGTATGGCTTGGATGCAGCTGCTCGACCATGGAAACCCATTCCATGAAGCTCTCTGCGCACTGTTCTTGAGCTAATCTGAAGGCCACATGAAGTTTGGAGGTCTGTAGTGATTGACTCTGCAGAAAGTTGGCGACCTCTTCGCACTATGCGCGTCAGCATCCGCTGACCCCGCTCCGTCAGTTTACGTGGCCTACCACTTCGTGGCTGAGTTGCTGTCGTTCCCAAACACTTCCATTTTCTTATAATACAGCTGACAGTTGACTGTGGAATATTTAGGAGCGAGGAAATTTCACGACTGGATTTGTTGCACAGGTGGCATCCTATCACAGTTCCACGCTGGAATTCACTGAGCTCCTGAGAGCGACCCATTCTTTCACAAATGTTTGTAAAAACAGTCTGCATGCCTAGGTGCTTGAATTTATACACCTGTGGCCATGGAAGTGATTGGAACACCTGATTCCAATAATTTGGATGGGTGAGCAAATACTTTTGGCAATATAGTGTATATGCTACATTTCTTGGTAAAGCCATAGAAATAAATGCAATATGAATTGAAGTCAATAGAAAATCCCTACAAGAATAGTATTACACAACTGTGTGTTTGTGTATGTGTACTTGTCAAGGCAACAGAACGAGGACAATTTTTACAATTTCACCATCACAATCAGGAACAGTTGTTGTAAAGTGAGGACATTTTGCTGGTCCTTACAAGCTATTTTGCTAATGGTTAGGTTTAGGGCTAAGGTGTCAATTAGGTTAGGGTTAGGGTGAGGTATGCATTGGTGATGGTTAGGTTTAGAGTTAGTTTCAGGGTTAGGGCTAGAAAGGGATAACCTGACAACAGCCTGATGCATGTCTCGCTCCGCCCAGCTCCACTCACATACATCTGGGAACCCGCTCATTGAAAGTGATTTCCCCAACCAAATTTATGGTCTGTCCAATCAGGACGCAGGGTGGGTGTGTCCTGGAGTGGAGAAGCGACCGTGAGATTCCAACAACAATGGCGGCTCGCATTGAGGAAGCAAGCGTTAGCATTGATGCTGCTATTTCTTCTGTGTTGTCCAATCTATCTGATATTGTTTCATTAAAAGAACATCAGAGAACGGCTTTGAAGGCTTTTGTTGGTGGAAACAATGTTTTCGCCCTTCTCCCGACCGGATTTGGCAAGAGCTTGATCTACCAAATGGCTCCTCCTCTCACAGCGTCACGGGTTAGCTTCGGTGTGAGTGGTTGAAATAGCAAGTCAATAAAGATGACAGACAAGTGGCTTATCCAATCATATGCAAGGAGTTTTTATAAGGCCCAGCCTTCAGTAAAGGCAATTCCTATGGCGGGTTCCCAGATGTATGTGAGTGGAGCTAGGCGGAGCGAGACATGCATCTGGCTGTTGTCAGGTTAAGAAAGGGATAGAAAGAGTTGAAAATGACTGAAAATCAATGGAAGTCTAAACTATTTAATATTATTTTCCATGTGAATCCCAGATTGTTCATGCATCTTTGGCTTTTCTAAAAAGTCCTTAAAATCAGTCCTATCTGTCTTTATCCATGCTGGGTCAGATCCTGATGTTTGAAAAAGAAGGCAGGCAGTCAAGACAGCAGAATAAAGTGTTAGCCTCACTGCATGCTGTTAGCCAGGCCAATTTTGATGTCCGGCTGATTAGGTCCAAACAATTTCACCTCCAGCTTCTCTTGCTTCTTATGAAGTCAAAATTGGTGTCAATCACCTCCAGCATGTTTGTGCAGCAAATTTTTTCAGCTGTGATCCTGTAATTCTGAAAATATAAAGAAAAATGATATCCAGGGGTCTTCAGAGGTCAACCACTCCAGTTGAACGTGGAGTGACGGGATAAAAAGTATTTTACGGAGGGGAGTGGAGCCCCGATGATCCTCTGTGCTATTCTTACCATTCTTCTCGCATTCTTCCAGTCTGAGGCGCTGCAGCCTCCACACCAAACAGTGAGACAGCTGGTCAGAACGCTCTCTATGGTGCTTCTGTAGAAGGTGGTGAGGATGGGTGGGAGCAGGTAGAATCTTCTCATCCTCCGCAGGAAGTACAGTTAGGGCCAGAAATATTTGGACAGTGACACAAGTTTTGTTATTTTAGCTGTTTACAAAAACATGTTCAGAAATACAATTATATATATAATATGGGCTAAAAGTGCATACTCCTAGCTGCAATATGAGAGTTTCCACATCCAAATCAGGGAAAGGGTTTAGGAATCATAGCTCTGTAATGCATAGCCTCCTCTTTTTCAAGGGACCAAAAGTAATTGGACAATGGACTCTAAAGGCTGCAATTAACTCAGAAGGCGTCTCCCTCGTTAACCTGATATCAATTAAGTAGTTAAAAGGTCTGGGGTTGATTCCAGGTGTGGGGTTTTGCATTTGGAAGCTGTTGCTGTGACCAGACAACATGCAGTCAAAGGAACTCTCAATTGAGGTGAAGCAGAACATCCTGAGGCTGAAAAAAAGAAAAAATCCATCAGAGAGATAGCAGAGATGATTGGAGTGGCAAAATCAACAGTCGGGTACATTCTGAGAAAAAAGGAATTCACTGGTGAGCTTGGGAACTCAAAAAGGCCTGGGCGTCCACGGAAGACAACGGTGGTGGATGATCGCCGCATACTTTCTTTGGTGAAGAAGTTCCCATTCACAACATCAAATGAAGTCCAGAACACTCTCAGGGAAGTAGGTGTATCTGTCTCTAAGTCAACAGTAAAGAGAAAACTCCATGAAAGTAAATACAAAGGGTTCACATCTAAATGCAAACCATTCATTAATTCCAAAAATAGACAGGCCAGAGTTAAATTTGCCAAAAACACCTCAAGAAGCCAGCCCAGTTCTGGAAAAGTATTCTATGGACAGATGAGACAAAGATCAACCTGTACCAGAATGATGAGAAAGAAAAAGTTGGGAGAAGAAAGGGAACGGCGCATGATCCAAGGCACACCACATCCTCTGTAAAACATGGTGGAGGCAAAGTAATGGCATGGGCATGCATGGCTTTCAATGGCACTGGGTCACTTGTGATTATTGATGACATAACAACAGACAAGAGTAGCCGGATGAATTCTGAAGTGTACCGCAATATACTTTCAGCCCAGGTTCAGCCAAATGCTGCAAAGTTGATCGGACGGCGTTTCACAGTACAGATGGACAATGACCCCAAGCATAAAGCCAAAGCTACCCAGGAGTTCATGAGTGCAAAAAAGTGGAACATTCTGCAATGACCAAGTCAATCACCAAATCTTAACCCAATTGAGCATGCATTTCACTTACACAAATCCAGACTTCAAACGGAAAGACCCACAAACAAGCAAGACCTGAAGGCTGCGGCTGTAAAGGCCTGGCAAAGCATTAAGAAGGAGGAAACCCAGCGTTTGGTGATGTCCATGGGTTCCAGACTAAAGGCAGTGATTGGATCCAAAGGATTCGCCACAAAATATTGAAAAAAACTATTTTGTTTTGGTTATGTTTATTTGTCCAATTACTTTTGAGCTCCTAAAATGTGAAGTGTTTGTAAAGAAATGTGTACAATTCCCACATTTTCTATCAGATATTTTTGTTTAACCCTTTAAATTAAACGTTACAATATGCACTTGAATTCTGCTGTAGAGGTTTCATTTCAAATCCAATGCGGTGGCATGCAGAGCCCAGCTCGCGAAAATTGTGTTACTGTCCAAATATTTCTGACCCTAACTGTACAAGCACTTCTGTGCCCTTTTGAGGTTGTGTTCATAGACCAAGTGAGGTCTGAGATGTGCACCCCCAGGAATTTGGTGCTGCTGAACATCTCTACAGCTGAGCTGTTGATAAGAAGTGGAGCGTGGTTAAGCTGGTTCTTCCTGAAGTCGACGATGATCTCCTTCTTCTTCTCCACGTTCAGGATCAGGCTGTCATCTCTGCACAAACCCATCGGTTGCTTAACTTCCTCACTGTAGTCCTGGTTGTTGTCTTCTCTGATGAGGCCCACCACTGTAGTGTCATCAGCAAACTTCACAATTTCTGGACTGGATTTCGGCTTT